GCTTCCCTTCTGTGTAGTTACTCTGAATTTGGCAGTGTGAGTCAGATTGGTGGGAGTACATATGCACACACATTGTAGCTCTGGGCAGGTTGGAAAGGACCTGTAATGACCTCTTTCCCACTTTCCTTTCAGTGCTTCCTTTAGGGGTGGCATTGCCAGACACGATTTATTATCGAAAGGGCTCACCATGGTGTCCACCGTCATCATCCTCCTCCAACCACGACACGGTGCCCTTTGCCCTCTCTTTCCTCCCCTCATTAGCTCAGAATAACATTGGGCCCATACACTAAGCTATTCTATGTAAGGTGTGTTCGAATATGCCGTTACTGGGTTTGTCTTGCTGTGTCTGCAGACACGTTCCTAAATCAGAAACAAGTTCATACCCAACCCAGCCTGCAGGTCTCACCTGAGACCCATGTCTGTCTTTTCTCCTCACATGGTGCTGGGGATTGAAGAAGCCAGGGTCTTGCTCATGCTAAACACACATTCTGCCACTGAGCTACATGTACAGCCCATGAATCTACCTTTTTTTTTTTTTTTTTTTTTTTGTCTTTTTCCTTTTTATCGGTACCGGGGATCGAACTCACGACTGCCTGCTTGCAAGGCAGGCACTTATGCCGCTGAGCTAAATCCCCAGCCCCGAATCTACCTTTTTAACCAGAATACCAGAAGGTTCTTGTTGTAGTCAGGGGTTGTACACAGAGAACAATTCAGATCAGGACATGGAGTTTATAATATTTTTATAATGGTCACTGGGAGTTAACACCGGAAAATGCAGGAAATTTATCCACAACACCAAAGACATAGATTATTTAGTCAAGGGTCTAAACCCCACAGCATATGTCCCACATGAGTCCAGATAAAAATCCAGAGCTCAGGACAATGCCTCCCAGGATTCCACCTGGACGTCCAGAGCCCATAAGAAGAACTCACACCAGTCTCTTTTACGGATCTGTGCTGGGAAGACCCAAGGGTCAGCGGTGGAAGCAAGAAAGTCTATGCCAGCAGGATGAAGGAGCTGTGTTAGTGGGATGAGGGTTCTACCCTGGAGCCCAGAAGTCACACTCACAACAAAGACCAGGGCTATCCTGAAAGGCATCACAGCTGTCCTCAGCGACACGGAGGTCCCGAGATCCTCCCACGACAAGCACAGTTGGGTACGTGCCAGGAAGCAGCGTGACGAGTTTATCCTGGAGACCAAGCAGCACATGTCTTCCCCTCTGGAGCCAGGAAGCAATGCTCCATGTGAGGATCAAAGCTTCTCCAGGAGAACCAATAGCTCAGACAGCAACTCGTAGGAGAACCCACAATGCCTCCTTAACGCCTCAATCCCTCTCAACACCTCTCTTCTTCTCCACCTATTTATCCTGGCAAACCTCCTCAGGTGGAGCATCTTCTCTCAATGCATGCTGATATAATCCAGCTGGCGTTAAGTTGACCACCAGTTTTCAAACCATGACAGTTCTGATGTGGGAGGGTATTGTGGACAGCTCTTTGATGCTTTTCCTCTGTATGCAGACTCTTTCTCTGCTCACTCACAAATAATCTTTTGCTGTTCCCTACCCACCACAATCATAGAAACTCATGATTTTTATCGGTATTTTGCGCCGCTGCCTCTCCATGAAGGTTATATACCTTGATGACAGAATAATCTTTTATTGTTTTAAAAATCCCTTTTAAAAGCTTCATTCATTAAAAGAAAGAGCGCCGGGCATGGTGGCACACACCCGAAATCCCAGCACTTGGGAGGCTGAGGTGGGACTGCTCTGGGTCAAAGCCAGTCTTGGCTACATAGTGAGTTTGGGGCCAGCCTGGACTACATAGTGAGACCCTACCTCAAAAAGAATTCCCAGTATTTGTACTTACAATGGGTGGAGTCCTAAGCAGAGATCATAAAGGCTTCTGCTGCTGATCCAGCAGAGCCTGCCTTGCTCCTGGTCAAAGCTACCTAGAGCTGCCAGTCGCTTGAATCCTAGAGCAGCAGAGTTTAGAGGATGGCTCACCACCTTTCTCAGAACTTCTTACTTTTCTTTGTTTTGCTTATTTTTTGAGATGGAGTCTCACTATGTAGCTTGGGCTGGCCTTGAACTCACTGTGTAGTCCAGGCTGGCCTTGAGCTCTTGGTGACCCTCCTGCCAGATTTCAGACGTGTGCCACCACAGCTGGCTAGCTCTTCCTAATTTTGTTAATAAGTTTTTATTGTATTATTATTATTAAAGCAACAAATTCTCATTGCACAGAACTTGGAAAATAAAAGACAAAAAGTTTTATAAAATCATTGGTAACTGCAAATCAAATATAACCACTGAAAAAAAATTTTTTAGAAAAAGGCTGGGGATTTAGCTCAGCGGCATAAGCGCCTGCCTTGCAAGCAGGCAGTCATGAGTTTGATCCCTGGTACCGATAAAAATGAAAAAGACCAAAAAACCCCCAAAAAACAAAAAACAAAAACAAATATAACCACTGTTAGCATTTTGGTATAAATTTCTCTCATCCTCTAAAATATGTTAATAATTATGCATTATGCATGCTTTTTTGAAGCAGAAACTGGAACACAAAGCACTTGCTGCTCTGCCCTTTTTCGTACTGCGTTGTGGACATTTGCACACATTACCCCTTGTCCTTCCTCACTGCCGCAAGGAGCTGCCACTGGGGTGTGCTGTTGGATGGTACCTAGCTTTTTGACTGTAGAGCAAGCTTTACCCACCTGCTTGTGATTATTTTCTTACAGTAAATTCTTGGAAACCAAATAGTTGAACCAAAGAAATGCATGGTTTTAAGGTTTTTTTTTTTTTTTTTTTGGTCTTTTTCATTTTTATTGGTACCAGGGATTGAACTCACGACCGCATACTTGCAAGACAGGTGCTTATGCTACTGAGCTAAATCCCCAGCTCCAGTTTTAAGTTTTTGATACCATCTCAAATGCCCTCAAATGCTACAAGGTGTGTAGCAATTTGTGCAGCATGCGAGTGTTCACATGCTTTTCACTGCCCATTTTATGGCTACTTTAACCATAAAATATTTTAAGTAACTGAAATTAAAACATTGCTGTTGATTTGCTTAGTTGAAAACCCTTGTTTTCTGTTTTTGTGTCTCTTGTCTAAGGTTGCATGCACTGGTGTGTAGGGCTCAGACCCTGGGTGATGTGAAAGAGCCCTTGTCCCTGCTGGCCTTTGGGCCTGGAGAACTCTTCATGTTTTATGTGGGTTTTGATTTGCTGATAGCGAGCCAAGCAGACCCAGAAGTGCCAGAGGTGCCCTCTGCTGGCACAGAGGTGCAGTGATATAGACTAGAGTCCTGGTTTCTTAACCGTTTGCCCTTGCCCACCACCACCATCCTTTTTTCCACCAAAAAGGCCCTACATGGAGGGTGGGAAGTTTGTTTGTTTTGTTTTTGTTGGTTGGTTTTTGGTACCAGGGATCAAACTCACAGCCTCACACTTGCCAGGCAAACTGTGCCACTGTGCTAAATCTCTAGCCCAGGGTGAGTTTTTAAACTGTTGTGCCCTGGATGGCTTGCACTGTTTTTCTGTTGGTGAGAAGTGCATAAAGAACAGTTTGGGAAAGCCAGCTGCTGTCCCCATGAAGGGAAATTTAAGATTTTTGAGCAAAGGTGCATACTATCCCCCAGGTAAGTGGGTGGCCCCTTGGGGTGACAGCTATGAAAAAGAGCTCACAGCCTGTGTTTAAAGATCAGCCCTTCAGCTTGTGGGGGAGAGACATGCACACAGGTACAGGTATCCCAGGGGATCATAGTTCAGCAGGTTCAGTTGCAAGGAACAGAGCTAAAGGTGAACATTTAAGTTGTCTCCCAAACCAGGAGTGGCGGTGCATGCCTATAGTCCCAGCACTAAGCACTGAGACAGGAGGATAGCAAGTTTAAGCCCAGCCTGGACAGTTTAGTGACTTAGTGAGACCCTGTTTCAAAAAGTACAAAAAAGGGTCAGGACGTAGCTCAGTGGGAAGGCCCTGAGTTCCATTCCTAGGACCATCAAAGGAGAGGGGAACAGGTGTGTATCACAATCCCCAGCTCTCTCATCTCTTAAAGGTGGTACTTCATAATGTTTCTGATAGATTTCAATCTGAAATTTTAAAAGTCTGATCCTTCTGCCTGTTGTGTTAGCTGGCTCTGGCATTTCCTTGCAGAATTTTTAACATAACAATTATGACCTTATTGCTTATTTCCTGTGAAACTACTTTGGGCTGTTGTTGTCGTTGTTGTCGTCGTCGTCGTCGTCGTAGCTCAGTGTGAAGGCCCTGTGTTCAGTCCCCACGGTCTCACTATGTAGTTCAGGCTGGCCTGGAACTCAGTGTGGAGTCGAGTCCTTTCTTCCTTAGCCTCCAAGTACTGGAATTACAGGCCTGCACCATCATGATTGGCTACTTGGAGAATTTTTTGAGGCCTGGCTCAAAGTTGTTTTCCTCCAAAGAGGATTTACCTTTTCTTCCTGCCAGCCCCAAAATACTTTAAATTGAATGTTTGGCCACAGAGTTTTCTGCTCACACAGGTAGCTGTGTATTAAAAGGCCAAATCACAGGATTTAGTCAGACTAAGTTGGAACCAGCTGGTTTCACTCCTTACTCTGACCTCAGGCAAGTCATTTATTCGCTAGATCTGGACCCTGTGGGCTGTGAAATAGTGATAATATTGCCTATTGCCTGAGGCTACTACAGGGTTGAAAAGAGGTAATGAAGATAAAGTGCTCATGTTCCGGTGGTCACTAGGGGCCACTCCGCCTAGCTGAGTAGCCCTCCGCTGGCCCTGCGGCAGCCCAGCCGTAGGGAGCTGTGTGAAAGCTGAGTGCTGCACCTTCAGCCCTGGGATGACAGCCTCTGAAATGCTTTTGATAGATGCTTCTACCCTCTTGTCTTGACCATGGTCTTGACTTGTCGTAGGAGTTACCTGGAGCTGGGTAACAAGAAAAATATTTGTTATAAGTGTTCCAGATATTGCTGACATTTTTTTATTGGTTGGTTGTGACTTTAAAAATTTTTTGCCAGGTGTGATGGCACATACCTGTAATTCCAGCTCTCTAGGAGGCTGAGGGAGAAGGATGGTGAGTTTGAAACCAGCTTGGACAATTTAACCATTTAGTCTCACAATTTAAAAGGGCTGGGGGTGGGGTGGGGTTGTACCTCAGTGCATAGGTCTTGGGTTCAATCCGTATTACTGCCTCTAGCCCCCTGCTAGATTTCTTAGCTAGGCATGGTGACATCCACGCATAATTTTAGCTGCACAGAGGACTGAGGCAAGGAGAATCCCAAGTTTGAGGCCGAAAAGTCTTGGAACTTGGGTGTGGAAAGACACTGCTGTAATCTCAGCCCTCTGGCTTTCTGGAGCAGGAGGATTATAAATTTGAGTCCAGCCTGGACAATTGAACAATTTAATGAGACCCTGTCTCAAAAAGTGGGAAGAGAGTTAGCTCTGTGTGAAAGTCCTGTGTTCAGTCTCCAGTAACACACACATACACACAAAACTTAGGCTGGGGTTGTAGCTTAGTGATAGAGCACATGCTTAGCATGCAGACCTGAGTTTGATCCCCAACACTGTCGAAAAAAATTCTTTGTAACTGTTTGTATATGGTGGCAAGTTAGTGCCAAGGCATTCAAACATTCTTTTTTTTTTTTGTCTTTTTCATTTTTATCGGTACCGGGGATCGAACTCACGACTGCCTGCTTGCAAGGCAGGTGCTTATGCCACTGAGCTAAATCCCCAGCCCCACATTCATATTTTTTAATCATATGGAAATTGACAGTAATATAAATATGAAATAAAGTATTTAATATTAGCATGCAAATATCTTAAGTCATTTCTGGAACAGTGGACATAAAGAAGTAAAATATTTATATATATATATATATATATATATATATATATTGGGGGGGGGGGAACTACTGGGGATTGAACTCCCGACTTTGTGTCTGCCAAGCAGACACTTACACCACTGAGCTAAACTCCTGGCCCAGAAATATTTTTTTGAGACAGAGTCTCACTATATAGCTCAAGCTGGCCTTGAACTCACTGCACAGCCCAGGCTGGCCTAGAACTCATGGTAATCCTCCTGCCTCAGCTTTTTGAATTGAGATTACAGTCATGTGTCACTACACTAGGCTGCCTAAAGAAGTAAATTTAATAATATAAATTTAGCGGTATAGAGAAAATGGGGAGAGAAAACCTGGAAGGAATATGTTTAAGTGTCAACCATTATTATTTGTGAGTGGTTCATACCCCAGCAGCATCATGATATACACTGCATTCAGAGGTGGGGTTTGTAGTCAGAAAGTCTTGCCATAAAGTCAGGCATAATAACGCACACCTGCAGTCCCAGCACTTGGGAGGCTGAGGCAAGGGATCAAGAGTTTGAGGACAGCCTGGGCTACATAGCAACCTTTGTGCAAAAAAAAAAAAAAAAGAAGAAGAAGAAGGGGGGGGGGAGGTGAAAACTTGCATTAAGTTGGTACCTGTGTGGCCTTGAAGGACAAACACTCAGGAATTTCATTTCACAGTCTGTTGCACTGTCTTGAGGATCAAATGAATAACGAAGACCCAGGCGATAGCTCAGTGGTAGAGTGCTTGCCCAGCATGTGTGAGGCCCTGAATTCAGTCTGCAGCACTGGAAAAAACAAATGAATGAGTCTGAAGCGCCTAGCCTGTCATCTGGCACATGTTGGCTCTATCAGTGGTGACAGAATTATTTTTATTCATCTACATTCTTTCCAGATTTTTTTATGCTGTCCATGTACTACTTTATAATCTTCACAGAAAAGAGTAAAATTAAAACTTCAAGTCTGATGTGCTGGTGCACGCCTATAACTCCAGCACTCAGAGGACTGGGATGAGTTTAAGACCACCCTGGGCTCCATAGTGTGTTCTAGTCCTGCCTGAGCTATATAACAAGACCCTATATCAAAAACCAAGTCAGACAAACCCTTCAGCAGTAAACGTGGTACAGGTAGTACCCGATTTAAGGTCTGTTCATCTTTCTGAAAATGCAGAGGTAATACACAAGCCAGGCGTGGTGGCACATGCCTATAATTGCAGCACTTGGGAGGCTGGGTCAGGATTGAGAGTTCAAGGCTGGCACTAGTGAGACTCAGTCTCAAAACAAAACAGAAAACAACCAAAAAGCAATCATATTCAATGGAAACCAGAGCTTGAGTTTTGAATTTGGGTCTTCCTCCTGACATTCTGTCTTGATGTTGTGCAGGGCCAGGTCCCAGTTGGCTGTATGACCATAGGGGAAAGCATCTGGAGCTCTGCAGTGGGATGTTGCTAAATTGTGATATCCAGTGGGTTAGGTGTACTAGGTATATTTTTGATTTAGGATATTTTCAATTTAAAATTGGCTTATCATTACATAATCCCACTTTAAGTTCAGGAACATCTGTATATACTTTGCTGACAAGATTATTTTGTATTCCTAAGTGGGGTTTCTAGACATTCCTGCTGTTGAGGGAGGATCTTAGGACTAAATATTGTAAGCCCCTGACTTAGGAACCTTGGAGTTGTGAACTTTCACAGATATGAATGGGCCCCACATTATGAACATTCATAGATGTGAACAAATCTCAAAAGTAGTTCACATGTCTGTTGGACACTGTCACAGTTGTGCTGCTGTGGTGGACAGTAGTATAATGCTTAGTCAGCCCAGGATGTCCAGAAGCAAGAGGAGACGTTGCACATTGTATATTTGTGTCAAAGGTATGCAAGACTCACTTTGTTGGACTTGGGAACAAACCCAACTTAGGACTGTTCTCCCGAAATGGAGCTCACTCCTAAGTCGGGGGCTCACTGTACCTGGGAACCTGTGCAGTGGGGTGCTGGACAGGTCAAGCCCTAGCCCTGGGGAGGAGGCCTGAGGAAAGGGTGGATCACAGCCAAGGGTGTTTAGAGATGCTGATTCTCTCCATCTGTCCTGCCCAGGACGCAATGAGCCTCTGAAGAAGGAGCGGCTCAAGTGGAAGAGTGACTACCCCATGACAGACGGGCAGCTGCGGAGCAAGCGAGATGAGTTCTGGGACACAGCACCCGCCTTCGAGGGCCGCAAAGAGATCTGGGATGCACTCAAGGCAGCTGCCTATGCAGCGGAGGCCAATGATCACGAACTGGCTCAGGCCATCTTGGATGGAGCTAGCATTACCCTGCCTCATGGTGAGCAGGCACAACTAGCTTTTATCCTTGCTAGAGATGGGGGTCATCAGCACAGTTTAGAAATGGCAACCAGTCGTATGCCAGGAGCTTCTGTCCAGATTGGTAGAGGTGAAGGTATAAGTAGGTGTGGCTTTTCACTTGCTCAGAAAGCTTGGAGTAAGCATGGGCCAGGAGGGGAGATCTAAAGAAACATGAGAGACAGTCCCTGCTCGCCTGAGGAAGGGATAAAAAGGCAGTAGCAAACCTGCAAGCTAAAGGCTTGCTTATGGCACTCTGGGGTCCCGGAAGAGCTGAGACATCCATCTTCTTTTAGGTTATGTGTGCCAGGCACTGAACTTGGAACTTCTGCATCATCTCATTTAAGTTTACAGAAGTCTCTAGGCTGTGGAGAGCAGAAATAAGGGAGGAATTCCAGAGTCACAGGCCTGGGTCTTAATGCAGCTGTTTCCATTTTTAAGCTTGTGACCTTTCCCAGATGTGTGATGTTGAGCACAGGGCTTCTCACATTAGAGCCTGAGCACTTTGCAGCCAGAAAGGGAGATGATTGTTTATGCAGCAAGACACACACAACATCCCCTAGTCTAGTCCCAGCACTTGGGAGGGGCTCAAGATTCAGTGAACATCTCAGTGTATACTCCATTACACTAGTAAGGAAACTGAGGCCCAACCCAAGCACCCATCATACATGCTTGGTGGAGATGTTCAGTGAACAAAAAAGAAGTTAATGTGTAGGGGCTGACTGAGACAGCACTCAGTAGGACCAGGACACCAGTCCAGGTCTTCTCAGCTGCAGCCTTGTGCTCCTGTGCTGTAAGGCATCCTAGGGAAACCCAGCTGTGGAGTGAGCCTGGGGATTATGGGGTGGCCATGGGGGGATGCACTCAGCAGCTTAGGCTGCTATACCAAAGTATCATGGACTAGGTTCCTTAAACAATAGAGATGTGTTTCTCACAGTGCTGGAGCCTGGAAGATCCAACGCCAGGTGCCAGCTGATACAGATTCCTGTAAGGGTGGACCTCGTGCCTTGCAGATGCACTTCTTACTTTGTTCTCACATGGCAGGAGGAGAGAGAAAGAGGACAGAGAGCTCTCTGGCATCTCTTCTTACAAGGACAGTAATCCTGTCCAATTAGGGCATCACTCTTACAGCCTCACTCAATCTTAATTCCGTTTAGGTCTCCTCTCCACATACAGTCACATGAGGGCTTAGGCTTTTATCATAGGACTTTTAGGGCTTGACCGCAGGTCCCTAAGCCAACACACTGACTGCCCTGCTCCGCCTTTCCACAGGCACACTCTGCGAATGCTATGATGAACTGGGCAATCGCTACCAGCTGCCCATCTACTGCCTGTCCCCACCGGTGAACCTGCTGCTGGAGCACACTGAGGAGGAGAGCCTGGAGCCCCCCGAACCCCCACCAAGCGTGCGCCGTGAGTTCCCGCTGAAAGTGCGCCTGTCCACAGGCAAGGACGTGCGGCTTGGTGCCAGCTTGCCCGACACGGTGGGCCAGCTCAAGAGGCAGCTACATGCGCAGGAGGGTATAGAGCCATCCTGGCAACGATGGTTCTTCTCTGGGAAACTGCTCACAGACCGCACGCGGCTCCAGGAAACCAAGATCCAGAAAGATTTTGTCATTCAGGTCATCATCAACCAGCCCCCCCAACCCCAGGACTGACAGGCCCACGGATTCTGTAAAGAGGGGTCACGAAGGCCTCCGTGGGGCTGGAGCCCTGGGCCCCCACCCTGCTGCTGCCTTCAAGTCCGTTGTTCCCTTCAGGTGCACTTCCCCACTGCGTGGCTCTGGTGAGCCGTGAAGGGACCTTGCCTCCCAGGGAGCGCCCAGCATTAAGGAGCAATGCTGCCACACACAGGCCTTGCCGACCTTGTCAGAGGACAGCACCCCGGGACCCTCTACCCTGCCTCTGTCCAGAAGCAGGTTCAAGCCACAAGCCGGCCTGGAGGCCCTGGAGACCAGATCTGCCATCTCGTGTTGCCGCTGCGCTCACTCCAGTTTTCTGCTCAGGGTTGGAAGCAGCTGCTATCTCCCTCATCTGCCCCCACCTTGACTCTGCCCTGGGCACAGTGACAGTCCCCTGGAGGGGAGGGAACAACCAGTGAGCCCCAGGACTCAGGGAGCCTAAGGCGGGGCTCCGCATCTCCTTCCCACTAGCACAATCAGCAGAGAAGAGGTGGGTGGCCAGGCAGCTGGGCTTTGTGTCCAGAGTCTGCACAGGGCCATCTTCTGGCTGTAACCCAAGTGGTGGTGTCTGCAGCCTGGTCATGGTCCCGCAGCAGGTCTCTGTGTACAGACATATCTGCGTATTTATCAATAAAGCCTTTGCTCCTTCTCTGCTCCTTCTCTCTAATATTTAACTGAGTTCTACAGCCCAGGGGAGCCTGGAGTTCTGATGGTGTCCCTGGCTGCTCTGGGCACAGGAGAATATGCTGACCTGAGATCCTGTCTTCTGGGCCCTAATCCCAGCTCCTCTCATGTTTTTGGAGTAGGTCCCAAGAAAAACTGCTTCACTTCCGAACCCACAGGACTTCTTCAAGTGGAGGTGATGCTGCTTCTGTGCCTTCGGCAGCATTGTTAGGAGGGTTAAAGGGGAAATACATGCACAGGTGCCTTGAAAGCAGAGCAGCACCTCAGGAAGGTGGTGCCATTGCCAGCGGTCTACTCTCTTGCCTTGGAAGGTGCAGGCCCACAGCTGTGTCCTCACAGTTGAGGTCTGTGTAGAAATCCTAGAGGCACTGTGCCCATGTGAGCCTCCAAGCAAATTCTCTGACATGTTTAGATTATGAGCATGTGTTAGAGATTTGTGAACCAGAGAGGGAGAACAATGGAGTCCTTGTGTTTCCCTGGGGAAATGAACACATGGACAGGGAATCTTAGTTGAATCTGTTTAGCTAAGGGCAGGGCACCTGAGCACAACTGACTCACAGAGCTGGGGGGTGTCCACCATTTAAGGCATGCTCAAACTAAGTTGTGAGGCCCCAGGCTTGAGGCTCACAGGTTCAGGGACTGACCTGCTTTCCCACTAGTTTTTGGGGAGTATTTTTCCTTCACATTGGGCTTGACCAGCCCTTGATGAAGACAGCCTGTCTTGTGTGGCTTGTCACCTGGCCATGCTATTGCACTATGGCTTTCTGGGACCCTGCTCAGAGAGATAGATAAGGTCTGTACATGACTAATGGACACATGGCCCAGTACAGTGCTTCTCCGCTAGAGGGTGCTTTGCCTCCCCAGCAGAGGCCAGGAAGGACCCAGCTCGAACGGAGCTAGCTGCTCACACATACAAACCCAGCGCCTTGGTACTCTAGCCTGCATAAGGCAGAGTCTGCCTCCCCACAGCCCAGAGGGTCTGTTTACAGCACAGTGTGGGGGCACACACTTGTCCCTGTGGTTGGTTTGCAGGCCCCCTGATTGGTACTAGCTGGGCAAAGTTTCCAGGCATCCAGCAGGTGGCACTGCTAGTCAGCATGTTTTTTGTGTGTCCCAGCAGCCCAAGGAAAGGCCCAGCCAGTTCCAACCACTCAGGACAGGCTGGCCAGCCGCCTTCTCACTGCCCGGCCCATTGTGCCCTCTGGCCGCAAAAGGCCAGGGTTTGGGGGAGGGTGCCTTTCCTGCTGCTTGGCTTCCCTCTGTTCCCCAGGGCTGCCCAAGGTGAAGGTGACAGGTTGGGGAGGCAGATGGAGAATTGGGCCAGTGAGCTCATGGTAAAGGCTCCCAGCAGGCGGATGTGGGTGCTCTGGTTTATAAAGCCCCCAGTGCCCTGTGGCTGCAGAGGCGTTACAGACGGCACCATGGAAGCCACCATGGAGGGCTCTGAGGTGGTGCAGAGGGCCACGGCACTTATTGAGCAACGGCTGGCAGAGGAGGAGGAGAATGAGGTGGGACAGCAGTGTGGGGGCCTGAGCGGGATCTGAGGAGATCCTGTCTGTAGTGGGAAGGGAGAGCCTGGGTCTCACAGTTATGGTCCTGAAGGCCTTGCCTGGCCCATTCCCACCCCAGTGTGCTCCTGGCAGAGAGGGTTGTTGATACTAAGAGAATGAGGCTTCAGCCTCTAAACCAGAACCAATGGTATCGGGAAGCTGAACCAGTCTTCTCAAGACCAGTCTCTGATAGGGGCTTCAGGAGCTGGATCAGGCTGTGCAGGGCAGATAGTGGCCCGGGGCCTAGAAACACCGAGAATGTACAGCCCTGAGACCCATCACCTGTTGGTGGGAGGCTGGACAGGAGCAACTCTAGGCTTTGGTCACTGTAAAAAAATAAGACTGGTACTGAGCAGGGAAGGGGTGCTGGGAAGAGAAGCTTGGGTTTCTGTCAGGACTGCAGCTGCTTCTGGGGAGGCCATGGCAGTTGCATTTTCTCCAGGATCAGGGAATGGGGTGGGAGTGCTGGCTCTCAATGTTGTTTAAAGTAACACTTGAATTAGTGTCTGCTATGCCAAGAGCCTGGTGCAGAGAGGAGTGGGAAGACTGTAAGACCCAGACCCTGCCATCTTTTCACCAGCCCAACATTCATTTGAGTCAACACTTCTAAGCTGCATACTCAACTAAAAAGACCTAAAGAAGAAACAGTTAAAGATGTGCGTCAGCAGTGAAAGAGCCTAAGGATGGGTGAATCATTCTACCTGTGGCTTTTGAGGATTGCTCAGTACACGGGGTGGTATTTGAATTGGGCCTTCAGGAGTGAGAAGTGTGGATGATGAAGGGGTAAGAGTTTTCCAACCTAAGGAAATGACAGGAGCTGCAAGTATTAATGAAAGTATGGCCATAATGAGGAAGTCTGGTAGTGGGGAACAAGGCCAGAAAGGGAGGCAGAAGACAAATCAGAAGGTAGCATGGAAAAGATGCTTATTTTGTGAACAGAGGGAGCTACTACGACACACTGTTGGCTGAGGGAGAGTGATTCCATCTAATCTATTTTAGGAAGACTGCTCCGATGGTCCTGAGAAGGACTTATTGGAGGGGGAAAGGCTAATGCTGACAGACGTGGGAAAGGAGGAAATGAGGGTAGAGGGAAGGATCCAAGGCTCCAAGACAAGAAGAGTGAGCTCAGCTTTGTCAGGGAAGAGCTGGGACTGAGGCTGCTGAGTTCTGGCCAGGGCAGCCCTGGATCTCTAGGAATCCTATTTCTCATGTTCCAAGGCCTTGTGCACGTGGCCAGTTGATGCCACGGAGGGGAGGCATGCTGCTGTGTCATTCCTGGAGTGCTGCCACTAGACATAGAAACCTTCAGCAAGGGAGCACAGGCCAGTCTTCTTCCATTCATTCATCCAATAAATATAGCTACAGGGGCAGCAGGACACTGAGCGCCTGCAGAGCCAGCCTCGGTACCCTGTGCTTACATGTGCCAGGCACTGTGCTAAGCACTTTGAAGAAATTTTCTCAATCTGTAAGCAACCTGTGAGATTGGGCAGACATTTTGTTCCGTAAGCTGATTCCCAATTCAACAAACATTTACTGAGGACCTACTGTGTGCCAACCCATAGGCAAATCAGAAGTGGGGCTGTAGAGTCTAGGCAAGGCACAGTGGCATAAGAATTCACAGTTGTTTCTATAGGGTTTCACACTGACCCTCTGGTTAGCCTCCTCCCTGGTGGGAGGGCACAAGGGTGTAGGGCTGGCTAAGGGGCAGGCAGGAGCTCTGTATTGAGTTTTTTGGGTTAGGTCATCACGGAGAGCTTAGAATGGACAGAAGTGTTCAACCCACTGGCCATTACCTGTTCACCAGATTTCGCTGAGGACCTACAGTGTGCCAGGTCCTGTCACAGGTGCCAGGGAGACCAAGTCAATCAAGCCAGATGCCTGGTCTTTAGATGCTCCATGAGGAGCCCAGCCAGAGCCCCACGCGCAGTGGTAGCTGCAACTCCAGGTCATCTTGTCTCTGAAAAGATATGCAATATGTGAGGTGCATAAATGAGACAAAATGAGCCTGGCAAAAATGAGAGAACAAGACCTTCAAGATAGAGACCTGTGTGACCAGTCCTCTAACTCACCCTGGAGGAGGCTTAGGTCAGGGTTCACTGAGAAATGAGAGGAGAAGCTAAGCGCAGCGAAAAGCCAGTCCTTTCTGACCCAGCCCTTCCATCTAGGCAGCTGTTCCTGAGTTTACATTTACACAAGTCGGGGGAGCTCCAGGGATGGGGCAGCAGCACTTCACGAAAAGTGAAGCGGCTTGGGAACCAGCTCCAGAGGATGAGGAGCCTTGGAAGGGAGTTTCTTCAAAGTATTAAAAAGAAAAGAAGGTGGACACTTAGGGACCTTCTCAGCCTGAAAGCTGAGCAGCTGCTGTCACCCTTAATTTTCCCATAGGTAACAGTTTCCAAAATCTAGGTTTTACAAATCAGAAATTTTTTTCCAGAAAATTATTGAGTAAAAGGAAAAAGGTAAGGGTTTTTGTTTTGTTTTGTTTTTGTTTTTTGCCAGCAGTGGGGTGGCTCCAGTGATAATTCACCTAGCATATTTGGTGCCCTGGGTTCAATTCCCAGCACTGAAAACAAAACCAAAAAATGATCTCTGATCACACTGAATTCACCACAGTGAATTTATGACACTAAAAAGCTAAACCTTAAAAAAAATCATCTTGGTGTTTGAAAAAGTAAATATAGTTAGAAGTCTATCTCCTTAGATTCTGCTTTGGTGGATTCAGCAACTGTAGATGGAAAATACTCAGAAAAATGCAACTGTACTAAATATGTACAATTTTTTCTTGTTTTTCCTAAACAATAAAGTCTAACAAGGATTTACATAGTATTTGCATTGTATTAGGCAATGTAAGTAATATGCAGATGACTTAAAGTATATGACAAGGTGTGTATAGGTTACATGCAAATACCCTGCCATGGTGTGCAAGAATCTTGAGCATTCGTTTTATATATATATATATATATATATATATATATATATATATATATATATAGTTTTGTTTTGTTTTTTCTTCATGTTATAAAAAGATTTACTCCAGTCTTGTTTAGGAACCCAGGCAGTCAGAAAGCATGAGATTGAGCTGAGCCTGGGACTGAGGCTGAGATGCGGAAGTGTGGAATTTACTGCCTTTTGGGGAACTCTTAGGAGCCCTGCTCTTGCCCAGGCTCTGACCTTCCAGGAGGAATCCTCATCGGGATGTCCTTGGGATGATTGGGCAGAGAGGGTACTAGTCCCCACGGTCCTGGACAGGGGCTCTCTTTGACTCAACAGAAACTTCGAGGAACCCTTCACAGGAAGCTGCCTATGGACATGCTGGTGCTGGAGGATGAGAAGCACCCTGGGGCCCAGAGCCAAGCTTTACAAAAGGTTAAGGTAAGCACAAGCACACCCAGAGGTTTCTCAAATCCTCTGGCTT